AATATCAAATATAACGAAGGATTTAAATTAGAAAAATTTAATAAACTTTTTTTTTAAAAGAAAAAAGACCTTTCTTTGAACAGCTCTATGGTATATATGTTTTAAATAAAAAAAAACAATAGAAAGAAAAATAAATAAATAAGAAAGTTGTGTGTATATGTGTGTGTGTGTGTGTATGTGTGTGTGTGTTTTGGCCTTAATTAATTTGGCCAAAAACTTATTCAATTATTAGTGATTAATTTTATTATTTTATTTAAATTTAACCCAAACAATTCTATTAAACAAATATTATTAGATATGATGTAAGAAACTTACTTGATGATCGTGATCAATTTAAAAAAGTAACATATACATTATCAAGAAAATCTGAAGAAATTCAACAGGAAAAATTATGTGAAGAAGAAAGATGGGCCGATCTAGACTCTGAAGCAGAAGATCTATATGAAATGTCTGAAGAAGAAAGAGATATATACACTGGTATTAATTATAAATTACATTAATACATATGTAGAATAAAATATTATTATTTAACGTTTATTAATTATGTATATATTAAAGAGGAAAAAAGAAAGCGCAAAAAAACAAAAGAAGAGAATAAAGAATATGAATATAGTTATTCTGAAGAAAATCAAGCAAGTGGTGTTGATGATGGTGATGAAAATTATGAAGATCAACCTGAACAAATTCAAAAATCAGGATATATTCCAAAATTTACAGTTCCTCAAGGAATGCTTACGGTATGATTATTTTTACTTATAAATTTAATAAAAAGGTTATAATTAATTCTACTCCGATTTATTTGACAGCCTTCATCTAAACGTATTGATGAAATCATAGAACGTACAGCAAAATTTCTTAATGACAGTAGCGATCCCCAAATGGAAATAGTCATTCAAGCAAAACAAGCCAATAATCCAAGTTTTTCTTTTTTAAACAAGGACGATTCACTTTATCCTTATTATAAACATATCAGGTTATTATTACAAACTGGTCTTTTTGCTTATGGAAATAGTAGCAGTGATGATGACGATGATGATGATGACGATTATGATGATGATGATGATGATGATGATGATGAAAAGAAATATGATGAGAACAAGAATATCTCAACAAAAAAAGATAAATTAATGGGAAAAAAATTAGATAAAGAGAATGTTCCATCAGAAGTTTCTGCAAAAGATATTAATGAAAATAAAAAAATAGATGAAAGGGCACAATATGAAGAAAGTTCAACAGCCCAAGAGCAAATATCTTCTACTTCATCTGTTGGTTCCAATATCATCACCAACAACACTACCAACACCAATTCAACCACTACTACACTGACTCATAACACTCAAAAACAGTCTAGACCAACAATTCAACCTTTTGGACCTGTAATGTATGCATTTATATTGTTCTTTACATACATTTATTTATGTTTTAATTAATTTTAAACAAATTATGTAGAGTACCACCTCCAGATCTTAAAGTTATTATTGATAAAATGGCAATTTATGTTGCCAAAAATGGCCAATCTCTAGAGGCTAAAGTCCGTGAAAAACATATAGATGATTCACGATTTAGTTTTTTATTGCCATGGAATGAGTTTCATCCTTATTATAAACAAAAAATTGAAGAAGATAAAAATTTAATTGAATCCAATAATGATAAAGGAGATCATTAGTAAAATAAAACATAATCCTAAAATAATGTGTTAATTAGAATATGGTTTAGATTTTTTTAAAATATCTAACTTTTCTTTTAAATTTTAATTCCTGCGAATGAATATTATTTATGTCATTTTGTATATTTATTTATTAATTATAAATGTGATAAAATAATTTTTACTTTATGAAATTCTTATTTATATTTAGTCGCTTTGGCGGAGTGGTTAACGCGGTGGCCTGCTAAGCCATTGTCCATTGGACGCGCAGGTTCGAATCCTGCAGGCGACGTTTAAACTTTTTTATTCAAATGACTTATACATTACTATAAAAGAAAATTTTATTATTATGCATTGGGTAAAAGAAGGTTTGAAACCGAGATGTAACAGTGAGTTTTGTCGAAGTATGGATTAGCATTATAGTACATACCATCCATCTAAAAGACATCAAATGCTGCGTGATAGCCATCCAAAAATAGTAATGATGTTCTTTGATTTATTAGCATTGGATGCTAAGCATCCTAATATCTAATGTGTATTCATGATCAACGAGACAATTCTTAGATAAAGGAAATATACTATTTCGTGACCAAATGGCACATTTATCGGGTAATATAATAAAACCAATCTTACAAATGAGAATGCAACAACGTGAACTTTTGCTTTTTATATATTACACAATCATGTATGCTGTGCTATACGAGATCAAAAATTTATTATTTAACATCATGTTAACATTAAAGTTAAGTTGGGTTTGGATTACGTATTCTTCATCATGAAATCACATTACTTGGATCAAAGACAATTATACTTGCCGCCCAAAGTATAGTCTAGTCCTAGCCCCCCGAAATACCGCGAAACTATATAGTACAAATTTAATAATTTATACAAGACACATTCCAAATTTGTACCTAAATGTATCATCCAATTCACGAAATTCAAGGGTTTGGGTTTTGTATTTGGGTTTTGGGGATTGGAACTTGTCTTTTGAGTTTAAATGGCAAGTATAAAGACAATATATTTATTTTATTAAATTCGAAACATGTATATAAATAGAACGACCGTCCTCGCATATTTTTTTCGTAACACCAACGTAGAGATATTTAGAGTTTACATTAAAACCACGAAATCATGCCATCATTATAGTGATACAACGTTAGAGTGCCAAACTTTCATTCATAGAGATGATATTCTTTGGTGTCACAATATTATAAAATCACATAATAATAACTCGATCACTTATATATCCATCAATCGTATTATTTATTATTGAGTAAAAAATTTATTTATTTATTTATTTTAATGATTAAAGAGTTGTTACATGAATAATAAAAATGGGAATTGGTTGTTGTTAAAAAACAACTGACCAAGACGTGCAAAAAGGAACAGGATAATTCGTGATTAATTTCCTTATTGTTGACAAGAAACCGACCAAGTCTTTTTGAAAAATGCAAATATGCGCTTTCACCATTAATTGAAAAAAAAAAATCAACCGAGAATTTTTTGAAAATGTAGAGGTTTTTTTCGAGACCACTAATAGGATAATTTGTGATTAATCTCCTAATTGTTATTGGCGAAAAAACGTAAAGAGGATGCTTCAACGACAAATGATAAAGTTGGTGTTACTGGCATACAAATAATAAAAACAATAATTAATTAAATTGTTGATTTTTTAAATTAAATATTTACTAATGCTAACTAATCAAAATCGTCAAAAGATAACAATAAAGCAATGCATTTCTTAAAATGTAAAATAAAATTTATTCTTACTAATTTATTCCGTACTATTTCAATAGTTAATTAAGGAACATATCAACCAATCAATGGTAAACTTTATCACACTAACCGAACATTAAAAACCAACCAAACAGTTCTCTGTTCGTTCTCTTGGAAAAAGATTTTAAAACAGTTACCATGTGGACAAAAAATAATTGCGTACGGGATCATCATATGGATCTATTTAAAAAAATCCTTTTACCGCCCAACGAAAACATAAATTCCTCCCCAAAAAATTAGGTTTTAAAAATAGTTTTTTTTTCCAACCGTTAGCTACGTTACTCACTCCTTCACTGCTCACTTGTTAATGAACTATTTAAGAAATAAACCATTTACCATACGACACAAAATTAGCTAAAATAAGGTGAAAACGTTGATCGTGCCAAAAACCGAAAAAACCAAGCACGACTAAACAAAAAAAAGGATAACTAGCACGAAAATCACAAGCCTTACAGATTTTGGAAGGATGTGGTGACACGACAAATTTTTCGATTATGTATATAGCAGTGAGTTTCGTGAAATACAAGTAAGCATTATAGTGCGACGATATTCTTTGAATGGTGCATTGATTGAATAGTCTAATAAATTATTAAAAAAACGTACAAATAGACTCGCTACCCACTCGTGGACCAAAAATTACCAAAAAAATGGTGCGTCGGTTTTGCTTTTGCATTGCATTCAAATTCGAGGATTGAGATACGTAGTGCCAAAACGGCATTCCACGATTTGGCTTTACACATTACGTTCAAATGCAAGGGTTGTGACATACCCTATATTGTTGTTTATTCGTTGAGCAAAAAATTTATTTATTTATTAAAGAGTCATTGCAACAAATCTGATATTATTAATAAAGATTAAAAGTCCAAACCCATTCGAGAAATAGATAGTTCGTCTTTCTTGACGGATGTACATAATATATAATCAATGAAAACAATGAAAAGAAGCGGTTGAATATAAATGATTGATTGATTCACGTGTAATGAAAAAAATAATGATAATAAAGGAAATATAATGCTTAAGATTAGATGCATCCACAAAAACGAAATATATTATTTACGACATTGATACCTCTGTTTCTCAAGCGGTCAAAAACAAAAGGTAAAATGTTTAACGGCTCCCAGGAAGGCAGAGTTTTCTGAAATACAGATTAGTAGTGCTCATATTATTTTTCTATAGTTTAAAAAGTTTTTTTTGTAAAAAATTTGTCTTCACCACCATTAAAAACAAAAAACAGACAGACAAAAGCATAATTAGATGTGGACTTATAACCATAGCTTGAATGCAATGTGATTTTGGTTTTTTCATGTAGCTTACATATTTGTAAAAATCAAAAAACCAGTGTGATGGCACCTTTTGATTGGCTAATTTAATTTTCATTGCAAATTCATAAAAATGGACATTATCAAATTTTTGTAAGATGCAAAAATTAAATATAAGCAAATAGCTTAGGATAAGGCTTATACAGCAGAAATATATATTTGAATAAAATTTACAAATAAAATAATGATAATCATTCAAATAGGACAAAAAATTTCTAATATTAAAAAATATACAATATTGTTTATCATTGAAACCAGTGTTACCATTCTACATTATAACTCAAAACCTAAAAAAATTACATGCATATACATTAATTAGAGATAAATAATATAATTGTAATATAATTGGTTGGTTACCTTACCTTACTGAAGATATAATTTTTTTCATTTTTTAGACACATATCAGTTTTTTCATCAGAGAAATTGTTTACATAATAATAACCTAAAATAATTTGGAAGTAAAATTAAAAAATTTTTAGTTTAAAAATAATAATTAAATGATGATTAAAAATTAAAAAACTTTACAAATCCATGAAAGTTTATTAAATCTCCCACGATAGGTTGATTCTAGTTTAAATATTAAATAAAAGGTGAATTTAGGTAATTCATCATCTCTTGCAGATATTTTCAACACACTATTATTATCAGTAAGTTCCCATTGTCCGCACATGAGATTTTTAGATTGATAATTTGTATCAAAAGATTTTACAACATATTTTGGTTCATTTGATGTTTGTAATGCAATACATGTACCATCAGAATAAAAACGTAAAAGACGGTAATAGCCCACAACATGAATAGGTTGAAACCAGGTATTTTCTATAGAACCACACCTAATTTAAAAAAAATTTTTTTTGAGGAGAAATTAAAAAGTTGAATAATTTAAATAAATACTATGATATTTGAAGTTCTCATACCTTAAATAATTACATTTAGATATGTAAACACCATCTAATCTTATACGAGGTCTTATTATTTTGGTTAAAGAAAAGGAAATGAAATGAAATGAGATGAAATAAGAATTGTTTTTAATTATGCATAATTATCTGTAATATACAGAATATAGCATATATATATATGTATGTATATTGTACTCTATTAGTAGCCATACCTTTCAATATACATTTTCATCCAATCATTATTGTATAATTTCACAATATGTTTTTCTAACCAAATAATAGACATTTGAGTAGACATGCTTCTGTCTCTATATGCCTTTTCACATAAGAACCGCCATAAAGAAGTTTCTAATGATATTAAAAGAAATTTCTTACAAACTAAAGCAAAACGACTAAGAGAAGTCACATCTCCTTGACATATTAGTTGATGTAATATATATGTTATTGTTTCATTAGGGAGTTTTGCAATGAGTACAGGTCTATCTTTGTCCAATGATGACAATTTAACAGTTGAGTTTTGAAATGAATTTATCAAATCATTAATTTTAATTTTTTCATTATTAATACTTTGTAAGAATGTTGGTGATGTTGAAGATGACTTAACATCAATACCATTTACACCTAATTTATCTTTTCTGTCAATAACATTATTGAGAATTTGAAATTCTTCAGAATTTTTATTAAAAGTTTTTGAAGAATCCTCACCAGATGACTTTTTATCAACATTAAGAAAATTTCTATATGAGTGATCAACACCAGGATCTAATTTCAACGCTTTACGATAATTATTTAAAGCTTTCAAGAATAAATGTGTGTATGTGAATATATGCATGTATGTAACATGTGTCTATAAGTATAAATGAATTCTAAATTTTCTCTAACCTTTGTTTAAATTTCCTTCACGTTCTTTTGTTACTGCTTTTATATAAAATTCTAATGCAATTTTTTTATCTTTGTCAGATTTGTAATAATGATTTTTAGAAATGTTAACATTTGAAGTTTCAGACTTCTTTGTCTCATTTAAATTTTCCAATGACTTTAATACTGTTTTACATGGTTTGCTTACATTGTCCTCATAATTAATAATGTCAGTTGAAGTACTAATTACATTACTATTGCGACTACTAGTTGTAACATTTGTTTTTGTCATTGTTATATGTTGAGGTTTTTGTTGTGAAATTTCAGCTTTCCATTTTCTCCTAAATTCCTCAAGTTCATCATTCGTTTTAAGATTATTGCTTGAGTTTATGCTGGAATCTTTCATTTTTATATCAATAAATATGTCAAAATAAATAAATGCAGAAGGAACAAAAATTATGCCTTTCTTTAAAAAGGTATAGATCACCCAAAAAAATTAATTTTTTATTTGAGGCTTGTCAGACCAATTTTGATTCCACCGATTTTGCTGTTGTGATGTTTGTTGCCACTGAGTTTGTTGTTGCTGTTGATGTGGTGGAGACCGTTGTATTTGATCCATTTACCTTACTACTTACTATATATATGGGGCAAGTAAGCATGACGCCACAAGATAATTTCTGCGGAGCATAGCGGGCTTTCTCTGTGATTGGCTGACGCATAACGAAATTGATTGGATGATTGATTATTACGCCGATCATTACTATTAATCAAATTTTATTGACAGTATTTATATGCACTAAATTAAATGAATCCCCGCACATTTTTTCGATAAAAACTTTGAAATTTCGATGATTGAAAGGTTTTTATGTTTTATACAAGTCAAATTGTTCTTTATGTTGAAAATTTGATGGAAAACAACGACTCCAAAAAAATGACAGGTAAATATCATCAACAATAAATTTTTCTCACTACTAAATTTTATAGATACATTGGAATCGTAACATCAATGCCTCACAATACACTCTTTTGTATATTCAAGAAACTGGTGGATTGATCTCACACAACAATTCAAAAAGAAATTTCCAGTTTGGCCAGGTTGTTTTGCAACTATAACATGGGTTAAGGCCGTAATTTGTAAAAAATTAGTTTCTATTTACGTCTAACATGATATAATTAATAAATATATACCATCAAAAATTACAAATATTATTTTTTTTAAAAAAAAATAAACTGTTATAGATCTTACTAAATTATCACTAAATTTAAAATGTCTATATACAAATAATAATAATAGTAGTAGTAATAATAAAAATAAAAATAATAATAATAATAATAATAATAAAAATAATAATAATAATTAAATTAAAAGGATCAAAAGAGTTGGGACGATTAATTGCAAATGTAATTCTATATTAATATTATTGAAATCATTAAAAATAACAATATATTAATAATCATAATACTAATATAAAAAAAGCGAATAAATCGAATAAATTATTTTAAGTAAATAGGTAGAAGCGCATGGTTTAAAATAATACAATTTTAAGAATCATATACCATAATTTTGCATGCTTTTTCGAGATGAATAAATTGAACTATTTAATAAATGCATATAAAAAATAAGTTAATGTGAATAATAATAATCATTATTATTATTGGAAAAACTTACATTTTTGAATTGTTGAAATTAGATGGATCTTCCAGAAAAGCATTTTCAAGTTCAGATTCAGTTAGAGAGTCTTTTATGAGAATAATTAAAATTTAATTTTCTTTTTATAGTAAATGATAAATGATAACAGTAATAGAATTATCGTTAAAAAAATAATATAGAATACCTAACGAAAAAGATGAATTAGCTGAATCGTGAGCACTGGTTGATTCACTTGTTGATGGATTCTTTATAGCTGGCTGAAGACCTTTAAAGTGAACGAACAAATGAATGATTAATTTTCTTTGATATTGTTTGCAAAAAAATTCAATGGGAGATAAAATTTTCACCAGTTTTTTACCCAAATTCAATGCTTTATTAGGTTGTTCGGAATTATTTAAAGATTCAATTGTTGGAGTTCTAAGATCCATTAAATCACTGGATCGTGCGATATTACTATCGTCTCTTAAAATTTGTGAGTAATGTAGGCTTGCAGGTAAAGGTAAGAAAGCTGGTGTTTCTTGCATTTGTAATTGTAATTTAGCCATTTTCTCTCTTATTTCTTTTACTTCATTGCCTGATTTCGTCTCATCAACATTATAATCATTTTCTGAAGACCTATCATCATCATCGTCGTCGTCTTTGTTGTCGTTGTCGTCATCATCTTCATCATCATCATCATATTCAACATTTAATTTATTTGGAATTATATTTCTTAAGTAATCTTGACTTGAAGAATTACTCGAAAAAGTTCTTGATAATGGCATTGTTAATGATGCAGCTGGAGTAGCAAATTCCGTTGCAGCAGTTGATGATTCTATTGTAGATAAAGATGTAGAAAAATTTTCTTGCTTAGATATTGTGGTTTGCACAGTTTGTTGTTTATTAGCCAGGTCTATATTTGTAATAGTTGAAACTGAAGATGAATTAGACATGGGCCTTCTAGAAATAATAGGCGAACCAATTGGTGGTGTTGATGCTTGTTGATTTTGTGTTTGTGACGATAAAGCTTTTGCTAAAAATTTAATTAATTAATTAAGGATTTGAAATAACAATAACAATAATACTACAACAATAATAATTTCTCGGCATGTATTAATAGTTATAAACCTTGGTGTGATACAGATTCATTTATTGCTTGAGCAGCAAAGGAAGTAATGGTTGATGAATTTGATCCAGTAATAGGTCTAAGACCATCATTCAAACTATTGTTACTGCTCGTTCTTATCATATCATGACCACCGCGTGTAGCAACATACTGCTCTTTACTTGCATTTGACATTGCAGATGAAGGTCTTTGATAGCCTGTTCTCATAATCGTTATCATCATCATCATTGTTATTATATTAAGTAAAAAAATATATATTGGTTCTCGAATTTCAATATTTCACAAAAATTTACCTACCATTATCATTATCAAATAAGGGAACTTTTGTTAAAGAAGCTCTACTTGATGCTCTATTACGAGTGCCAATGGTTCCAATACTAACATTTAATGCTTTTTGCACACCACGGAGTTGCGTTTCGTATAAGAAAGCAGCATGACGTAATAAATATGGAATAGGAACATTTAAAAGGCGAGAAGCAGCATTCCCTTCATAAAATTTTTCGAGAAATTAAAAAATCATTTTTTTAAGAAAATAAAACATTTGACTGTATCTTATGAAAATATTATCAAATAATGATAAAATTTACCTACAATCTATACTTTGTCGTTTATTTTGTGCAAGTATTTCCCATAATTTTTGTTCCATTTCTTCTGTCCAAACAACCTATTATATAAAATTAAGTTAACTAGTAAAAAAAAGGCCCAAACAGTAAATTATTATATAATAAAAGAAATAATAACCTACGCGAGGTGGTTCAACAAAATTTAGTGGCCTTTTACGAGGAATTTTTATTACAACATGTATAGTTTCTTCTGAAGAAGACATTTTAAAAACCAAAGTAAAAAAAATCAAAATTTTTACCCAATACGGTTTTACAAATGAATTATCAAGTTGACACGTTACACAACATTTTGTGTGAATTTTAAATAAAAAACTTGGTAAAAAAATTTATTATTATGATTATCAAATCAAGATTTATTTTTTTAGTTTTTTTTTTTGAATTAAAATTTCTTTCCTCCTTAATTTTTTGAATTTCTTAGAATTAAAAAAAAAGAAAAATTATTATAATAAAATTATTATTATTATTTATTATTATTATTACTATTAATTTTATTAAAATGTTTTTATATTATTATTATTATTATTTTATTTTATTTTCATTATTATAATTAATATTGTCATTTGTATTATTGTTGCTGTCTGGATGACGCTCTTATTGTTGCTATATCATCAGCTATTTCAGATCTATGAAGTTTATCTGGTTCGCTACGTGATTTTTTTTTAAAAAAAAAGCCAGTTTAAAAATTAAAGTTAAGGATCCTTTTATATGATTTTGAAATGTTTGAAAAAAGAAATATCTAAAAAAGGATATTTAATCTATATAACTGACTAAAATTCATTACAACTGATGATGATATAGGTGGTTCTCCATCTGGCAAACGTGCCTGAACAACTGACATTATACTACGTGCCTTTTCTGTTTGATAACCTCTTTTAATTTTAGAAAGTGCATCCAATGCTGGATCATTAATTGCTTTTACCACCAAATCTATAAGACGATCCTCTGGTTCTATTTTTTTAATATTTATCAGATAAGTTAAAATTATATCTTTTTTCTCGATTTATTTATATATTTTTACACATATAAAGTCTTTATTCTCACGTTTATATAAATCATATTCTTTCTTAAGTTTACTCCTTTTAAGTTCAAGTTCTTCTATCATAACTTTCCTTAGATTACGGCGATCATTCTATTTGTAAATAAATAAAATGAATTAAATAACCATAATCATAATTATGGTAAAAAAACAATAATTAGCCTACTAAAAATTCATCTCTTATTTGTTTCTCTCGTGCAGCAAACTCTATTTCTATTGCTTCTTTCTGATAATCTCTCCTAGCCTCTGCTTTTTGTGAGAGTAAAAGATGTTTTTCTTCAATTTCTTCTAACCTTTGAGCAAGCTTAGGGTGACATCCTTGCATGATAGATTTATTCTCTTCAACAATATCTGCCATTCTTGCTTCATATAAACTATTATTTCAGCGTGAATATAAATATTTATTTTTATTGTTTTATTATTATTAGAATGTTATGTTTCTACACATATTTTTATATTATTATATTATTATGAAACCAATACAAACCCTTGTTTTATTGATTTGAATTGAACTGATATTTCTTCAACCTTTTGTTTTTGCTCTTTGTATATCTTTTTTGCTTCTGAATCTTCTATGTCATCAGAAAAGTTGTTTTTAACCGTTGTTGACTTGTGATTATCTAATTGTTTAAAACATTTCGAAACAAAGGTATGTAAATAAACTACCATTTAGTTTCTTTAAATGGTTTCTAGTTCAAAGTAAAGACTAACCCGTGGCCTCCTTTGTGGCATGGTTTCTTCGGGAAGAACGTCTCACATTCATTTTTTTGTTTTTGTTTTGTTTTCAAGAGAAAAGTTAGCAAATTTTCGTTTTTTTTTTTCAAAAAAGTAAGAGTAAGAAAATCGGGGTAAATTTGAAAAATATCATATATAAAAAAAAGAGGGTAAATGAATTTAACAAATAATAAATCGGTATGACAATTTGAATCATATGATACTCACTCATTGCTCTCGTCTATTCCTCCCAATGCATTAGAAGTTTCGCAGGGCAAAATTAAAGCGAAGAGGTGTGATTCGTCTGAATTGCTCTAAAATAAGCACATGTGATAATTTAAAAACTTTCTGCTACTATTAACATACCTTAATCACTGTCATATTACCAGGCTTTAAATTTTATTATTATTAACAATAAGATGAAATATTTTATATTTCTGGTAATGATATTCGTGCCTTTACTATTAATATTATTAAATTTACCCTGGGTCCTCAATTAGAAGTTCCCGGGGTCCTCCAACTCATTGTCACTTAGTCGCCGAATATTCTGCGCCACAATGACAATTTTGAGAATCTAAATTTTGAGGTCCCGTGACCTCGGAGTCGATAATTGTTTGAGGAATTTCCTTTAAAAAAAAAAAGATTAATCAATGATTTTAATGATTAAAGAATTTTTACGCAGTCATAAAAAAATTTATATTATTATTTTTGTTTTCAATGATTTTAAAGAGTTTATTACGCAACATAAAAAAAATATAAAATCAATTCTTCCAATTCGTTCATTTTTTAATATATATATATAAATTGCGTGTAACACGTCAATTTTGGGGTTAATATTAACAAGTAAACTTGCGCAACTTTGAGGCCATGGTAACGTGACAGTCGTAACTAGAAAATTACGATTTTGTTTTTTGGTTTACATTTCCATTTTTAGAGGAATTAAAGGATCTACACGGCCAATAAAAAGTTCAGTGACAGGATCCCGGAAACTTCTAATTGAGGCCCCAGGCAAACCAAGGGTAAAAAACGTGAAAAATGTCACCATTATTGGTAAGGTAAAATTATTACGGATACGTCAAAAGGCCCAAGACTTTTAAAGGTAAAAATTTTTTATGTCCAATGAAGAATGGTAAAATTGATATATTTTTTTCAAGGTCACTATTATGTTTAGGGTAAATCAATTATATAGTAAAAGTTTTTAAGTAGTGAATGGTTACACACAATGTGCAAAACTTTTTTTTTTAAATGGAGAATAATAAAATTCAAACCGCACTTAATTTCCCAATATTATACATTAATGATGGATTTTGTGTTGCAATTGAAGAGGTTGCTGTGGAAACAACAAGATTATGTAAATTAAATAATTTTTTTATTGATAATAACAATGATGAATCTCTTCAATTTTAAAATAAATGAAAACATACAAAGTGAACATGAAATTATAAAATTATATATATAGGAATAGGTGTATATGAAAAAAAATAATAAATATAATGGTTCTAATGAATATCAAAAAGCAATTGATTTTTAGAAAAAGGTTGTAAATGTGGTTGTTCTTCAAGTATCCCCAAAGAAGGATTTGCAGAATTAAGGGAATCCTTTCAAGCTCTCACTAAATTAGAACAAGACATATTTTTAATGGCCCAACTTAAAGCCATGGATGGTGGATCAATATGCACTAGTAGACGCCTTAAAAAGAAAACCAGATCTAACAAAAAAACTTTCTATCACTGGGATCACAATACACTTCTTTGCCAAGAAACTTATCTCAATATGTTAGGAATTGGCAGAACTTATTTTGAAAATATTAGAAACCATCTAATAAATAATGGTCTTTTACCAAGAATTCATGGTAATATTAAAAGAATGCCTCAATGGAAAACTAAAATGGTGGTTGATAAAAATGTTGCAGAAGTAATAAAGAATTTTATAGAAAATTATGCAGAAATCCATGGACTACCAAGTCCAGGAAGAAGTATCAATAGAATAACCCAATCAGTTGTATTCTTACCAGCTGAAATGAGTTATAAATCAGTGTATAGAGATTTTCTAGCTGGTCTGGAAGAAGATAGTAACTTGAAATCCTTAAAATATGATGCTTTCAGAAAATTATGACACCAACTGACACCAGAGATTCAAATCATGAGTCCAAGGACTGACTTGTGTGATACTTGTCAACATTTTAGAGATGGTTTACATTACAATGCTCGCCAAGAAGAAGAAGCTAAAGGATTACTTAAAGGATTTAAAGAACATCTGTCCAAAGCCAAATTAGAGAGAAATTACTATAATAAAAATACCAAATTAGCAGAAGAACAAAGAAAACTAGTTGATCAACATTATTCAAAGAGTAAAACACAGTATTGTAATATTGGTGCTACTGCTCAAGAAATTGAATAAGTGTGAAAAACATTTAAAGATTACTTGTGATAATGCTGGGGGACAAAATAAAAACAATGTAACAATTTGGTTTTATTTATATTTAGTAATTTGTGGTTATTATGAAAGCATTGAATTGAATTTCATGGTTCCAGGACATACCAAATTCAAATGTGATGGTAGTTTTGGATTGATTAAAAAACTCTATAGGAAAACAAGAGTAGATTGTCTGGACCATGTGGTTGAGGTGATAAAAAAGTCTCGTCCAGCAGGATTAAATAAAGCTCAGTGTTCCACTAATAATTGTCTATGTTACATGAGATTATTTTGTGATCCCGCTATAAAACATGAAAAGATATGAATGAGAAGAGTTTATGGTTATTTATCAGTAATAATACTACGTAGAGTCTGGCTCATATGTTATGGGAGTTGAGATCTCCTCCATCTCCGAGATTGTCAAGTTTTGGCTTATTTTACATTTTACAAGAATGATCGTCAGGCTGTAGGGTTAATTCTTGGCGCATACAACACAACAGACTTGCCTTATGAGCAGAAATTCCATTAATTCCAGGTAAAAAGCATTTTGTTATATCTAGGGGTAAGTAAATAAATGGGGGACAACTCGATGTTACACATATAGATCTGGTGAATCCAAAACTGTCACGCACTATTAAATTACTAGTATTTATTAATAGAAATAAATAAAACGCAAAACACGTACATATTGTAAAATAAAATTTTATATATCACCACATGTTAAAATTTTTTTCCTTGTAAGAACAAATCTTCAGCTTCCTTTTAATATAACTTTTAGTAAAGAAACTCTCCTATAGCTTTTTTAAAAAAGGATCGGTTATAAAAAATAAATTTTCTTTTATTTTCTTTTGTATTTTGAATGTTACACTTATTATTTGCAAGTTTAAATATATATACATACAATTTTAAGCATTATAAAACATTAAATAAAAAATTTTTTTTGTACATGAATGAAGATTTTAAAAAACACTTTTAACTTTTTTAAGTATATAGAACAAATAAATCAATTATACTGTATTTAACAAGATACCTTGATGTGTGACTTGAATGATTCATAATGTTTGAACAACCTAGTATTGTGCGTTGGAGTTGGTAGAGTTCATAAACTTTACTTTTGTCCCCGATTCATTTTTTCATAATTTCTCTATGACGAGCATTTTAGTAAACACTCTATGACGAACATCTTAGTAAACACTCTCTATGACGAACATCTTAGTAAACATTCTCTATGACGAACATCTTAGTAAAAACTCTCTATGACGAACATCTTAGTAAACACTCTCTATGACGAACATCTTAGTAAACACTCTCTATGACGAACATCTTCGTAAACATGGTTGGTTGTATGGAGAATGAACTGTATATATACCACTAATATAAAAAATTTTTTTGTCAAAAGATTGTTGAATTTA